TTTTTTAACACAAGTATCTGTACTTTTACTCAAGTACGGAAAGTGAGTACTTTTGCCATCTCTGGTTTGCTGCCCCTTAATTGGTTATTTCTCTCACCTGTCGTTTTCCCTCCCTGCCTCAATTATAATTTATTCCTCTCACCTGTTTCCTCTTGGTTATATTCAGTTCAGCCTGTGCATTCAGTGCCAGATCATTGCTTGTCTTTCTGTTAGTCTGTCTGTTTAGTTTTTGTCTTGGTTCATGTCCTGGATCCTGGCGGCCAGTGGAAAGAGGGTTTTAGTGTTTGTCTCGTCTCCTGATCGTCCACTGTTCCTCCCCCGCGGAGTCCTCTGGGTTTTTGGGCTCATTATGTGGGGAGGTTCAGTTTTTATCCAGTAAGCCTGGCTCCAGGGAGGAGACCAGTTTAAAGTCCTGCTTAAAGTTCCGGTTCCACGTCTTGTTTCGGCTACCCTCTTCCACTGTGCCTGCCTGTTCTGCACCTGATCCTGTCTGCTCCGGTGTGTGACCACCTGGTCATGCTTCTGGTCCCAGTCAGACTCTGAACCCTTCTGGGAGCCTGTGGATGCCTGGAAGTCTGGATCCTGCCTCCTGTTTCTGTTCCTGCCTGATCTGGATCCTGTCCCTGTCTGTCACTGGCTGCCAGGATCCAGGACATGAACCAAGGCAAAAAAACTGAACAGACAGACTAACAGAAAGACAGTTAATGATCTGGCCCTGAATGCTCAGGCTGAACTGAATATAACCAAGAGGAAACAGGTGAGAGGAATAAATTATAATTGAGGCAGGGAGGGAAAACGACAGGTGAAAGGAATGACTAATTAAGGGGGAGCAAACAGGCCAGATCATGACAATTAAAAAAGGGGAAAAAAAATAAAAGTATAATATAAATATTACAAAATAAGTTGGAAAAATAAAATTGGTAAATTTACTTTTTTTTTGTTAATGAAAGGTTCATTTTTGGATTGCATTTTTCTTTTTAATGCTTATTTCCAAAACATGTTCTATTTTAGCAACAATAATGGAACAGAACTCACTCCATATCATATATCAATTATTCTATAAGCTAAACTTTTCATCAGAAGCACCACTATTCTATTCATGGCCTATCTGCTCTGATTTTTGGTCCCTTTGCTTCTCTAACAAACCTTTAAGGCCTTCGCCGAACAGCAGCATTAATACTGAGGATACATCACACTCAGCTAGATTCTGATTACTTTAAGAATGACTTCTGAAAGTTATTGCTGGCAATGGATTTTATTTGAGTGAATCAGCATAGAAAGCCGAGAACAAATGCTTTCATTCTCCAAAAGGAGAAAAAAGACTAGAAGCTCTAATGCAGTAAAAGATGGTCCAACAAATGATTCTTGGAAGGTCCTTTACAGTTCTACGTCTCAATCATGAGACACTCTATGCTGGTTTATTACAGAACGGAAAGGAGTGAATGGTCTGAATACCTTTGCATGCAGAGTAACTATTGGACGTGATGAAAATATAAGTGTTGTCACATTTTGTATGGCTTCACTCCATCTGAAAGCAACTAACCAATGCATAGAGCACCTGTATGATGGCTTTCAGCCCTGAATAATTGATCAAATCATGCAGCAAAGCAGAACCACTTCCTGCTGCTAAGCTAGAACGTTTAACAAACAAAAAAGAGCTTCATGTTTCCATGATACTTGGAGTTTGGATAACTGCATGTAGGAAGTGTTAAGTGTTCAACAAAAGATAAATACATTTGTAAAAAAAGGCAGAGGAAAGAACATGTGTAAAACACAAATGCACACAGAGAGCGCTGACTTGATTCTGGGAAGAGGCAGAATGGAAGAGCTTTTGTTTAATCGATCAGGCTGGGTGGGTGTGAGCATGCGAATTCGCTAAAAGCCTCCTGGGTAACTGCCAATGCTCCAAACGCACCAACAGAGCTCAGGATCTGTAGGTTAGGAGCAACACCTTCCTGTTCTCTCAGAGCATCAGTGATACCAGTACATTGTACTGCTTTGTTCATATCACATCAATTAACAACACGCCATCTCAAGTATAAAAATACTGTCAGATCATCCAGTAGGTTGGTTCAAAGTTTCCTATCTCAAGAAAACCAGCTGATTGCATCCAGTCTTTGGCTTTGCAACATTCACTCCTCCAGGATGAGCAGGTAGAGACAGTAGATATTTGC